ACATGCATATACACATATATGCACACAGATATATATGTTAACATACATATGCATGTATACATACATAAATACATACATACATGCATATATATTACTAAGATATATATATATTTATACATACAAGCATGCATATATTTATACTTACATACATTCATATATACATATATATATAAATGACATACATCATAGATAATAGTCACTTGCCTATAAAAATACATAATAAATACATACACACATGCATACACATACATACGCGCACATACCTCAGGCATTAACAGTCACACATTCACACCCTCGCATTTAATCTAGCCAACTGTTAATAACTCTATTTATTCCCTGCAACGTTCATTGGCTCTATCATAATTAGGAGCTGTTATTAAGCAATTGAAGTAGGACTAAGGTTACTTTCAGGCAGCGCAACCTTATGTCAAGCTCAGTTGCTGGCGCATGTGATTAATTTGCTGAGCAGCCTGTTGGCCCACGTGCTAGAACGTAGCTGTCAAAGGAAATAATTGATCAAATGTCCTGATATAAATATACATAAATATTTAATGCACTTAGCCAGAAGACAGACATTATGAACGCCTCGCCATCTGTGTGGTCTGTGCTCTGTGGGCGTATGTGTATGTGTGTGTGTGTGTATGTATGCCATGTGTTGACGCCCACGTTCCGATAGCCACGTGAGTTCAGTTGAGTTGCGTTAGTGTGGGCCAGGATTTAGCTGGTGCGCAACTGTGTCCAGCAATCGGGGTCATATGATAAATGATATTGCCCGGCAATTGCGGTCAAACAGCGAGGCCTCTTTCTCTAAGAGGCAGAAAGAAAAAAAATAAAAATTAACATAATTTGCCCTTATAATTGCCCGCCATGCGACGAGCAGCTCAATGCTGACTGTGTTTGCTGTTAGCTGGCTTGCCGCTGGGTAATTTTGCATGCAAATAGCTGGAAATTAGTGTAAGTGCTCACTGACATGCCACACCATGTGCGAACAGACGGCCAACTGCCAGGCAGCTTGCAGCTCGCAGCTGGCAGCAGGCACTCGCCTCCAAGGTGAGCAGCAGCTACGACAAAGATAAACAGACGATGGCAAAATAAAGTGGCAAATGCTTAAACTAATGCTGCCTGACTGAGTGTGTGTGTGTGGATGTGTGGGTGTGTGGGTGTGCATAAGTGCATATCCTGCATGTTAAGTCAGTGTGTGGTTGCTGCATCTCTGGCTGCTGTAGCCATTAAAATGCAATAAGCGCATAAAACCTTTTTGCCACTAGCTGTGAGCAGATTTAAAAAGTCGTTGGAATATATATAAATATATATGCATATGTGTATACTATATACACAATATATTATAGAAGTTAGCGCAATTTATGATGCGGATAATCAACATACTCAATATGCAAACATTACGTGCCACAATTTATGGCTTCGACAATCGGCGAAGTACTTATTCTATAATATATATTCTGTAATATATATATAATATATATATTAATATTCCACTTGACTCTTTAAGCTGTTTTTTATTTGAAATTGAGTAAGTTACTTTATCGTAAACATGAGCAGCTGTTGCTTGTGGATGGGAAAAGTACGATATGTGCGCTGTAATCGAGTTATAAAAAAATATTGTTTCTAATGAAGTGCTAAATAAAATAATATTATTTTTATATAATAATAAAGGCAACTGATTTTCAGCTTCACTTGAAGTAGACTTCAATAAAAGGCAAATAAGCTTATACAGTGTAGCAATGGTATCTTCATAAAACACACAAATTAGTTGATATAGATGTATAGATAAAAAGATATAAATATATAAAATTTTAAGACAGTTTTTTCCTTTTTTTTTTAGAGTCTATGTGTTGGCTAGTCCCCGAGTATTGTGTCTTGTCTTGTTTTAAGGTATGCAGAAGTTGGTAAATTATTAATTTTGATCTGTAGCCAATTCAGTGGCAAAAGAACTTTAAAAATTGAGTCAAGCAAATGGAGAAATGTAAACACAACCAAAGAGAATATATTGAAAATCAATAAAAACATTTTGGATATTATTTTACAATATTTTGATTTTATAATTTATCAATTTTTGTAATTGATCGATTCTTAAATATGATTTTTGCATATGATTTAGCCCCTTTCTTTAAGAAGCAGCACAAATTTGCTATAAAAAACGCAGTTAAATATATAAAGTACATATTTATTCAAGCGCATATTTATATATTTACAAATATATATTGACCTTTAACTGAGCGCATTTAAACGCACTAAAGTGCTCTATCTATTTGTGTTACTCATTTTATTTCATTAAACAACTTTTCGAAACAATTTAGTTTGGCATATAATTATCCTGGCCGGCAACCACAGCAATTTCAGCTGCGCACGTGTGCACTTAAATTTCGAAATTACGCTAACAAAAAGTAATTAAATTAATTTACAATAAATGCAGAGTGGGCGTTTGACAGACATTGAAGGAGTGAGCGGGGCTACGTGGCGTATGCGTAACGTCATGACTGTGACGCAGGGCCAAAAACTAAAAGACAAACAAGTGACAAGAAAAATGTGCTTTTGCTCGCGTCATTAGCTTAATGAATGGGCACATGCGTAGGGACTCGGTTGGCGCTCGCGATGTCAGCAAGAGGAACTCACAAATTGGCCGACGGCCGACGGTCGACGGCAGCGTTGCCGCGCATATTAATTGCCTGTTTACGTAAATTAAAGCCGCATTTGCTTCCCTTCTTTGTTTATCGTAACCTCTTTTTGGTACACAATTAATTTGCGGTGCAAATGCCGCATCGACGCTGACAACTGCAATTGCATTAATAATTCAAAGGCAGCCGGATGACAGTTGGCTTAAACCGAGAACTCGAATTGCAGATGAGCTGTAACTGTTGCAGACCAGCTGCACTCTAGTTGAATGAAAGTATATCTATCTCAATTGCAGCTGAAAATAGTCATGGGAATATTTTAAAAATAATTAATAACTACTTCGATTCAGGTAAATATATTGTAAATATATTTTAGAATTTAGTAATAAATACGTAAATTCAGGGAAATATATTGGAAATGTATTTTAAAATTTTAATCAAATATTTATTTAATCAAAATATTATTAGCAAATATATTTTAGGTATATTTTAGAATTCAGGCAAAATTTTACACCGAAGCTGAAGTAAACTTAAACCTTGAAACTCTATTCTTAACATAAAAGCAATCGATTTTCTGATTCTAACTAATTATATTTGCCCCAAAAAATAAAGGAAAGGTCGTGTGCATTATTGCTTGAATAAATCATTAAAATCATAGCATAAATTGTACACATGATTCACCGAAAACTCCAAATAGATATTATCATTTATCAATTTTAGCCTCAAGTTAACAAGTTAATAATTCAACAACCATAAAGTATATTTGAGAGCATTCTCATAAACGTTAAAAGCTATACCAGGCACAATTTATCAGATACGCTGTCAATTCATTTCATTAGCTTAAATAAAAGGCAAATGGCTTGAATGCGATGCGAGAGCTGTTAGAAGCTGTTCTGGAGCATCGGCTGGCGATGTCATGACCATGTAAACGACATTGTAGCATGCTGCAGACTGTCAGGCGTCCGTGGCATGCATGGGCATTCGGGCTGATTCTGACACTGTCAACTAAGTATGCGCAAATTGAATTTCGAAGCGGGCAGCTGAAGAAAGCGGGTGAAAATGTTGAGCAAGCGATGCGGCCACATAAACTGCTATTTCCAATTAACCTTAGGCGTGGAATTTAACACTTAAAGTGTTACCACAGGCTCGAGGACTCGAATACACACAAGCACACATACACACACACACACTCATACACTCACAAAGACACACACATACACATTTGCTATTGCATTTGTGAATCTGAGCAAAAAGACAAAAGGAAAAAAACAAATTTTCGAGCTGATGAAAACAATTCCAAGTGGAAGATAGATAGTCAAGGCTGTGGGGCGTGGCAAGCGCAAACACACTCGAACAAGTTAAACTCACTTAATTGAATTGAATGTCAAATGATGTTTCTGGATGATGCCAAAGCGCAGTCAACTGCAAGGCGCTGAGCTCAACAATATGGCAAATGAATTGTGTCTGTTAGTGTGGGCGTACGACTGTACATATGTGTGTGTGTGTGTGTGTGCTTAGATTATGACCTGGTTACCACGCCATATTAGCGTGTCAAAATGACATCAACTTAAATCAACTTTTGCCCATTGTTTGTGCCATAGACATGGCATTAAACGATAACGAGAACGACAACGCCACCAAACCTGAAGCCAAATGTCTGTAGACAATTGCAGCAGAAAGGTGCGCGGGTGGTTTACTTTATGCTTCTGCTCGGCTATAACTGAAGAAACCTCGAGGCACTCGCATTCACAGTCAAACAAATTTCCACCAAAGAAACTTGTGCGTAACTTTTGAAACTTGACTTTGAATTCACTTTAACTTTTTTACTGACTCTCAGGGAAGGGCGTTTCATCATTACTCAAATTTGTATTTACTTTTGTAAGTAAATGTGATTAGATCTTTATATGACTGTGATATTATAAATTAATTTTCTAGAGCTTCACTTGACAGTCTTTAACTAAATGTCTAGTATATTGAATATATAGACAATCTATAGCTCCGGCAAGCCCATGAAATGATGCCATGTCTTATATATAATACATATAATTATATATATATATATATATATATATATATATATATATGTATGAATGATTGTATGTATGTATGTATGTATACATATTTATTTGTATAAGCCCTACAATTCATATTTGTATATTACTATTTGTATGTGTTTGCTTATTCCAAACGCAGCTAAAGTTTATGTTTGTGTTTTACTACATTGTAAATGAAACAAAAATTCTTTTTATATATTTGAACGACATTTTATATACTATCTGGTAGTCTCTCTCTCTATCTCTCTCCAGCTCTGTCTCTCTTTCTCTTACGCTAATTCTTACCCGCTCTATTCTTTTCTGTTCATTTTAGTTATGTGACTTCTTATAGATGGCAATAAAATAGTACTGGGTGTGTTTGTGAATTTTTGGGTAAGTAATATTTAAATACACAAAAAATAAATAAATATATAAAATATATATACATTATTTTATGCATATAAACTATTCAAAAGAAATTTAATACTTTAATAAAATACAGCCTGTATGGAGTTAGTGCTGTAGTCAAATTTTAAAGATTTTGCTTACTTGATTTATGATAGCAATTTTTATGGGCAACCCTCGGCAACTGTTGACAGCCTGGCCAAGAATTTGGCCTTTGTTTTTATTACCTTTCCACACGAGACTGTCAAATAGCGTCTGGCTCCGGGTTTTCCCGTTGCTCGTTCCCCAGTTGAGCGTAGTCGTGGCAACTTAAACACGTTGACATTTGGCTTATTAAGATACGGTCTGACGGCTTGACAAGGAGCTAGAGATACGGTCAAGTTTAATAGGCAAATGAGCTCTGCAATAAATTTAATATGCATGTTAAAAGCAATCAGCTTTGATTATCGATAAGCCGTATGATAACCCTTTTTGCACGTCGTTCTGTATTATCAATTAAAAGCCAATTTATCGCATTTGCCATGCAAAATTGAACAGTGGAAAAGCCTTAAAAGTCGGCAAGGAGCAACGTTTTGTTCGGCAACAGGCTGTATTTGTTGTATTAGTTATTTTGTTGTTGTGGGCATAAGTTTAGGGCAGAGCTCAAAAAGGCGCGTCGTGCCACGCATAGAAATTGAGTTGCCCCCAATTGAAAGCGTTGTTGTTAGTGTTGTGGCCACAAAATGGTTGGCACACAACAACACTTAAGTTTAAGTGACTACTCGAGACTTTTGGAGAGCGCACACAATGGCGGCAGCAACAACTGAGGCTGTGGCTGAATGGAGGCGGCGGTGGCGGCTGAGTCGCCAAACTGCGTGACCGGAAAGTGTTTGGCGTTTCCGGTTGACGCAGCCGCCAGCCGAATGAGTTGTGGCACTGCCAACAACTGGCGGCAGCAGTCGACGGAAGTTTGCCGCGTAGACTACGACCACAACAACTGTAGCAGCAGCAGCAAGCTGGCAAGTGCCACAAATGCTGCACGTGTTTGTGCCACAGGAAATTTGAGTAACAAAAGCTTAACGCGACACAATAATACTCTGACCCGTCGTAAAAACTCCATGGCCAGAACTTTGTCAATAACATTTTAAACTTAAAAGCCGTAAACTTTACTTAAGATATCTGCTTAAAGTAATTTGACATCATTAAATTGCTTGCTATAATGGAGTACTATATATATATATATAATTTTTTTTTTTGATTATATTTATAAAAGTGTAGAACCTGTACAATCAAATTTAGTACCTTAACAATATATATATATATATATATAATAAGTTAGTTAACAAATTTATTAAGGATTTATTCAAAATTGTAGCATACTTTTAGGCTGTTTTAAATTAAAATTGATTTTAAATATTTTTAATTATTATATCTGAGAAATAAATTAAGTTAGGTTGCTAAGTTTATAGATAGAGAAATTAGGTAGAATATATAATTTTGTATTTTTTATTTTATTTGAATTTAATTATAATATAAATTATATAAGGATTTTTTTTTTATATATATAGAGAGAGAGAGAGAAAGAGAGAATGAACAAATATAAATATTTTTTTCATTTTTGATTTTCTTTTAATTAATAAAAATTTAGTACATACTACAAAAATTAGCAAAAAAATTTTTATCAATCAGAATAAAATAAAATAAATAATAATAATAATTTTTAGCTGAAGAATATCCTAGAGATTTTAGTATGCTAAACTATGATTAAGACAAATTTAATATATAATAGAAAGGATAAGTTCACAGCGAGTAGGGTTAAAAAACCTATATATATATATATTTATTTATTTATTATATATATATTTTATTATATATATATTTTATTTATTATATATATATTTCTATGTACTTCAAAGAAATAATATAGAGAAGTTCAAAATTGAGGTATTATTTAAAACATAATCTATGATTAGACTCCAACTAAAGCTGCTAAATTATCCATCTACCAATGCGAATTTTCTTAAGCATTCATTTCTTTTAGCTACTATAAACATTTAAACAACATTAAAAACTTCCAATAGATTTTACGCATCATTTTTTTTTATACATTGATTTATGTAAAACAAAATATATATTTTTTTGGAAAAATATGTATTTTATATATGTTATACCCTATATTAAAACGAAGCCAGGAAATACCCTGCGTGCAATATTGGACACGTTTTTATTCAGACACGCTTTTTGACCCAGAGCAAACGTTCTGGCCAGTTGCAACAAATGTCACGTTTCGTCCATAAAATGTGTTAAAATGTTAATACAGGACAACATACAGTAACAGTAGCAACGGCAAGAACAGCAACCGCAGAAGCCCTAAAATGAAAATGAAAATGGAAACTCAGAAAAGCCGCAAACGGGTCAACTACTTGTATTGGTTGTCCTCCTTTCATTGCTTTACTCTCAAGCTGGTCCGTGACGAAGCCTCCATTTCCCGTATGCCATGCAAATTTTAAGCCGGCAAAAATGTGCCTATGTATTGAGTTCTTACTTACTTGTAAGTGAACGCTTTTCGCTATAAGGTAAACGTGGCAAAAAAGGTGGGCAATGGCCAGGCTGAAAAAAAAAAATAATATAAAAAGAAAGAAAAGTTAACTTAATTGCTTTTGCATAAAGCAGCCGTCAAAAAGCAGCTGCGCCATTTGCCAGTCCAGCGCGGGCGTCGAAGGCGAGCAAAGTCGAAACAAGTGCGCAGGTGAAAAGTAAAAAAAAAAATAAAAGAAAAAGAAAAGAAAGGAAAGAAAAGAAAAGGAAAACTGTGTTTGCTGCTGCTGCTACTGCTGCTGCCAGTTGAATTGGCGCTCAATTGTGCGGAAAAAATATTTCCATTGGCTGATTTGCACGGCTAAAAGATGAAATGCAGTCGAAAGTAAAGCCTGGCAGCTGAAGTCCTTTTCAAAGTGCCTGAAACTGAGACGCATTGAGCTTAAAGCGTGCCAGATTTAAGCTGAAACTTGGGTATATTTTGTGCCTAAGTGTTATAGAGTCGATGCTGAGCTGCAACAGCAGAACGCTGCACCCACTTAATGGAACATAATTAGAGATTAGGCAATGTCAGCTTAGCAGCACACAAAAAGATTTTGCCATACTTATGCCAGCTAATCAGCGACTAATCTGTTTGATGTTACAGCTTTCGCTGACAGACCGAAACGAGCTGGAGCCAGAGCAAAGATAAACATATTTAAGTGCTTTTAAAATGTCTCGGCAAATAAGCGGTTTCCATTGGACATTTTACAAACGAGTGTGTGAGTGTGGCAGTGTGTGTGGGGCTTAACGCTTGGCTTACAAGACCTAAGAGTCTTAAAAGTGTTGAATTAATTTGTGGCTGGGGTTGACAAACGTATTTTTTGGGGCCTGGGTAGGATTATGCTAACTAATAGGACATCAATTGGGGAGCCCTAAGACTAGGCAAACTACACACTTGGGTCAACGTACGATTTGATTAGGTTTACCCAACTTAATTTGACAAATTAGGGTAGGAGCAGGCCAACAAACCGACTCCCAGAGGAGACTTTAATGGCTGACTCAAATTTATTAGCAGGTTCAGTGTACGCATTTACTGAACACTTGCTCCACAACAGTCGCATGCAAGTACGTATCGTACAGTACACACACTTTCTTAACGAACAAACGAACGAGCCGTCAACTATTTGATGGCAGGTAAACAATTCTGAAAGCCCACAAAGGTATGCAACAATAATTTACACAGGAAAACGCAGTGCGGTCAGAGAATAAACGAAATGGAGGGAATTGATAAACTAGATAATATCCTAGAGGAGAGCATTTAAAAATACAAAAAACTTTATTTGGCATAGGTTGACCAAAAAACGGCGTTGCTTTCGGCTTTATTTTCAAACTACATTTGTGCCTTTATGTTTGAAATATATATCAAATAAGCAGTCAGCTTGACTTTTCGAACAGTGCTTCAGGTGTAAAACGCAATTTGGCTGACTCCATTCAAGATATGCCATGTCATATCTGGAATGTTGGCCTCGAGCTGCTTTAAAGTAGCATAAAGTTAAAGCTTAATAACAATAAGGAAATATCAAATCGTTTATCACAAGCGTGAGCTGACTGAGTCGATAAAATTTCTTCTTCACAATTTGCAGCGCTGCATCGCTTCTATTGTCACGTATTAACAACTGAGCAGCAATTCCAATTGAATTTTTTATGAGCTTCACATATTCAACAAGCGCAAGACGTTGCCTGACGAAAAGGCGAAACTTATTGAATAACTGAACAGCTAGGCGTTGGTGATAACTCAAACAGCTGCTAACAGCTAGTGATCGCTTTAGGTCACTCTATAGAGAGTTAAATAAATATATATATATATTTCTTCATTAATACATAACTTAGTCTCAAATAGTTACATTTTTCATAAGCTGCATATACCCTACGTATAGCTAGCACATTGAGTATATAAAGCGCATTTTGCCCACACGAGCCACATAAATAATTTACAATAACACGTGTGCGCCTGCCTGGCTGACTGTCTCTCTATCTGTCTGTCTGTGTGTGTGTGTGTGTGTGTATTTGCTGTGGGCACTTTGACTAAATGGCGTGTAATAAAATTTCAATTGCTTTGTCTGCTTGGCCTTTGTTTGGCTCTTTGCTAGAGCTGGGGAAGAAAAAGATATACTCAAAGCCTTATCACGTGTGCCATTCAATTAGGAAGCAACGTTTCGACAAGCGGTGCTGAGCAGTTGAGGCAAATGTCCTCATCCAAATGCAAATTATTCATAATTGCTGCTTATTAAATATAATTTGGGAATTCCGACAGACAAGGGCGTCGTTGTCAATATTGTGGCAGCGTGTGTGCAGGAGTAACAGGACAACGTGATAGCGCTGCTACAGCGATGTCCTTGCACTCACATGGACGCATACTCACACTTGGTTTAGCCATGGCCCTGACCTTTGACATTAGCTAACTGTGGAGCCGAAACCAGAACTGTATTGGCCTCGAGCAGCAAATTTGCTTATGATTCGAAAACATGCCGAAAAATAAGAACAAGCCGAAGAACAGGCAACAAACACAAATACATAAGACACAAACAACAAATAAAAAATAAGAGAAAGCAAATTAAAAAAGATGTATAACGAGACCGGCAAGAAAAACACGTTAAGCAAACACGATAACGATACTATATACATAATGTGTGTGTGTGTGAACAAGGACAGCGAGGACAACGAGGACAACAGGCGACAAGGCGCGCACACACACACACAACAAGGAACACACAGAAAATTTATTTCAATTTAAAAATATTCGTCACGCGCAGCACAAAAAGCGAGTTAAAAGCTCGAACCCCCTTAACGCCCCCGAGCCCCGCCTAGTCTTCTGCTCCCCGAACAGACGGTGCGGGGGCGTGGCCATTTGTATAATTGCTGTCGTGCCTGGGCTTAAGGAACAGAGCGAGTCGGGAGACAGCCGGCTGGATCAGACATTTAGTTTAGTTTATGCCTCGACACGCTCCAAGGACGCGTCGCAAAAGAAAAAGGACATTATCGTGACAGGCATTGGGCTAAAAAGTTTATGGCGCTAGCCGCGGCGCTGCCGTAATTGAAAGTATATCCACGATTTATGGCTGTACATCATTGATATGCCGCCCGAGCCACACACCCACACACAGAGTAACTCACAGCACAACTCCTGCAGACGAATCCTTGACCATGGCACTGTAAACGCTTGTTGACATCGATTGACATGGCGCACAATACAATGGCGCGTACCATGAAGGACCCCCAAGTCCGCGACCAGCTACAAGCGGGCGCAAAAACGTGCATGCTTTTATAGCCGGGGGCTCGGGGACGAGGCCATGGCCGGGAGAACCACGTGTTGTCCTTCAATCGGCATGAAATGCAACAAACAATCGCTGCCAGCCACTGAATGGGAACGAATCAAGCCGAGCACGGGGCCAAGTCAGGTGAAACTTGCCTTTTGTGTGGGAACTGTCAACTTGGTTTGTTGTGGCTATCGTTGCCATTTGCATGGGGCCCAGGCCAACCAGCCACAGCTGGACTAGAATTTATTAGAATTTCAAATATACCCTTGAAAGGAATCTAATAATTCTGTCACCAAGCGTGTGGGGTTTTTCACTAAATTAACTTGATTCGACTTGATTGAACTTGATTAGACAGCCTTGAGAATGTTATATGTGCGCATATGTACTTGATCGGAGCAATAACCTAGGTCGATATACTTGCCTTTTATGATATTTCATCAACTTAAATGATATTAGGAGAAATGAGAAGTGCAAGTTGATATGATGATACGCTCTCTCTCACTCTCTCGCCTTTCTCTCTCTCTCTATATATATATAAATATATACATATATATATGTCTCTCTTTCTATATCTACATCTATGACTATCTGTATGCCTTTCTCTCTCTCCCTCTCTTTCTCTATATATATATATATATCTCTCTAAATATATCTATGACTATCTCTATCCCTCTCTCTCTCTCTCTCTCTCTCTCTCCCTCCCTTACTGTCTCTGTTTCCTTGCTTATATTTTTTCCATCTATATTTCCATCTCAATTTCTCTCTTTCACTCCGACTATCTCTCTCTCTATCTGTCTCCCTCTGTTTTTTTCTCTGTCACTATCTTTCTCTAATACTTTCCCGCTCTATCTTTTTGCTGCTTTCTATCTCTTTTTCACTGCTTTCTCCTATACTCTATATACTTATTTATATCCATTTCTCTCAATCTATCTTTCACTATTTCTCTTTCTTTCGCTCTCTCTCACTCCTTCCTCTGCCTCTCTCACTCTCTCTCTCTCAACATCTCTTACTTGCCTCTTTATCTCTCTAGCTGTCTTGTTTTTCTATCGTTCTCTATCGTTCACTCCCTAGCAAACGCCTTTCTATGCAATTTTCAAAAACTTAAATGAGATTAACAAATATTACACTTAAATATTAAAAATTTAAAGCAGCTACATATATATGCCCTCACATAATGTAAGTTTACTTAAGTTGAGTTGAAGTTTGTGAACTTATTTCATATATGTTTGAGGCTTGTAGCTACCTTATCAAGTAAAAAACTTGAAGTTCTTAAATTTTAATAGCTTAACAAAAACTTTTTACTCTTTTGAAAGTTCTCAAGGCCTGATAGCCGCCGCTGCCCTTGGTATCCCCTCTTTATTGACTCTCGTAACATTTACACACGCATTGTTGGTTTGAAGTGGCAATTCCTACTGCCGATTTCAATTAGCCAGAGATGCATTCGAACCGAAGGACACTGCCTACGCATTTGCCAAACTAATAATAAGCTGCAAGTACGAGCTCGAGCACTAATCAGACCAATCGAAGGCAAAGCCCCGTCCAAGTCCCTTAAGCCGCACACTGCTGGAACAGCTGGGGCTGATTTATTTTTTTCTGTCATTGCAGTTGCGTTCATCCATGTTGCAGACGATGTCCTTCAACTTGACCAATGGCTAACTACAAGGCTGGCTGGTTGGTTGGTTGGCTGCCTGGCTGAATGGCTGGTTGCCTGGCAAAGGGGCTAAGGGGGTGGCAGGGGGCTACACATAAGTCTATGGCCGTGCGTTTGCATTTTGTTTGAGTCAAATGTCCTTGTCAAGCCCTAATGGCATCGTCGCCATTTTCCATTCTCCGTTCTCCATTGTCCTTGTCCCATGTGTTAATGTGGCACAGTCAAGGCGCATTTCCTGCAACGGCAATAATGACGCCGACGAGCTCCTTTCCATTTATGCCCCATGCTAGTTGCTCAAATCGAATAAAACATGTCAAAAGTTTGCTTGTATTCTGGCGAGTAATTGAAATGTATTTCATCATGGGTGCATGTATCTATCTCTCTCTCTCTCTGTGTATGCATTCCATTGGGATGGCATGTGTAGCGCAGCTCCTAGGAGACAACATGATGCTTCGAATGGCTACAGACAAATGATGTTGGAATTTTTTTTTTTTTGGGATTTCGCTTGCTTGCTTAACGCTCATCTCATTTTTCTCTCTCTGGTTTTATTTTCAGAATTTATGCCTGTGCAGTTTTCCATCGATTTTCATCTTGCGCCAACAACAGACTGGGGATGAAAAACCAAACATATGAAACGGATTTGATATTAACCAAATATGCAGGTAAAATATGTGCAGCAACAAGACTTGGTATACAAAACCAAAGCAGGAAACAAACAGACTTATCTGATGAAATATGCTTTGCTATCGAATGTGATGCCAGACATAGAGATATGCACTATAAACCTAACTACATAAGGTCTTCTGTCACAGAGTTACTACAACTCTAACTGGCTCGACCCATAGTAGTTGATTGAATAAAATACTCAAACAATATTAAATGGCATTTATATTTAGTTTTTATAGTATTTGATGAAATAAAATACTCAAAAAATTGTAAAATAAATTTATATTTAGTTTTTATATTATTCATAGTATTTGATGAAACAAAATACGCAAATAATATTAAAAGGAATATTTAATTTTTATAAATATATATGTCTACAGCATATTTCTCGCTTTAAGTTTCATTTACTTTAAAAACCGCAAGTTAACTTTGCACGTAATTTTATACTAAAGAAGGGTGCTGAAGTTATTTTAAGAACTTAATGAGCGTTGGTGCAGTGGAGCATAGTAATTATACAGCATTTTTTTTAAATCAACAACGTTTCAAATGACTTGTTTATTTTTTCTTTATTCATATATATACATATATATAAAGAGAGAGAGAGGACAAGAGGCATTATTTAGCCATGAAGTATTTGCATGTGCCGACAACTCGTGCATGACGGTTTAATTAATTAGATTTCTTATTAATACTAAAGCAGTGAGACTATAATATATATATATATATATATAAATATATATATATATATATATATATATATATATATATATATATGCATATATAAATTAAGCTAGACAAATGGGGGAATATGTATACAAATATAAGTATATAAAACTTGACAAACATGTGAGTACATGTTTAAGTACATATAAAATAAAAATGAAGTAAGCAAATATGGAAAATTAAAGCAAATTAAGTATTATTTCTATTGCAAACAACTAATTTTGTTTAGCTAGAAAAATATGCGATAAATGCTGTCATTAAAGTTCATTAATCGTAAGTTGTTTCTATCTCTGTCTGCGCTCGCTTGACTACGTCGACAGACGAAACTTAATTTTTTAAAAATGTTTTTCGTACGTTTTTGTTGTTGTTGTTGTTATTCCACCGCGAGTAGCTTTGACCGAATACCAGGCACATAAATTGCAATAAGAAGTCGGGCAAACGAAATAATACAGCGCTCTATAAATTGAAAATAATAACACACAGCGCAAAGGACAGCGAAATCCCAAATGAAAAAGTGCCGACAGGTGTGCTCATACACACATGTGTAGGGATGTGGGTGTATATGTATATATATGTGTGTGTGTGCAACAGGGCTAACGCAAATATTTATTGGCGCTGAGCGCAAATGCATTTTGGTTTGTTTAACATGTACACGGTCACACTTTAACACGCGCAGGGTCACACTTGAACAAACAATTATAAAGTATAAAGGACATTCAGATTGAATTTATGTAAAAGCTGTAGTTGAAACTTAACTGAGTGTATCGTATTAAATGGCGTTTAAATTTACAGGGTATAATTAAAATTTATAAAAAACTTGGAAAATTTGAATTATCGATAATTATCGATACAAATTTCTAATATAACAAGAAAAATATATGATATTTAGAATATATAACAAATTCAAATAATCCTTTTTCACTGAATTGGTTGAAAAACCTTCAGTTATTGATATTTATCGTAACCTAAGTAGATTAGCTCAAAATAATATAGTAATATAATAATAGTTATACATACATATATATACATATATACATAAACATATAAATATATAAATATGCATATTAAATACACAAACCTAAATTGAAGTGAACGATATTTATCGGTTCCTGGAATTAGAAGCTCAAAACAATTTCTTATATAATGTAATACATTTATTGTATTTGTTATTATTGTATGATAGATATTTAAAAATAGCTTACATATGAGTTACTAACGTATGAATAAAGTTTTTAAGTAAATCTAACTTATCGATATTTATCGTTCAATTCATTAAGGCGCGAAAAGAATCAATATTAGAAGTATATACTTCAAATGGATTTTATGTAACAGAGTATGACTATGTATATAGAAGAATATACAGTACTAAAGTAAATTTTTATGATCGATTTTTATCGTTTTCAAGGTAAAATAGATTACGTTAACATTTACTGACATTCTAAACAACAACTGCATTTAATTGCCATCCGTCTATTTTTGTTGCAATAACAACATGAAACTAATCGATTTCGAATTATTTATTTTGCTTTTTACATTTTGATATTTCAGAAACAAGAAAAAAGGCGCGAATTGCGCTTAAAGCGATTCTGGCGCTCGCCAAAAACAACATCATCGGAGGAGTCAACGGGCTATGAGAGTCCGACGAGGACGAAGCCAGCCAGCAGCGATGCACAGCGTTTCAATCATCTGCACTACACGAGCCTCTCCCAGGGGTCGGGCACCACCTCGTCCTCGACGACGGCGGCGGCAGCAGCAGCTGCCAATGGGGCATCAAGCAGCAGCAGCAACAAGCCATCCTGTTCGCTGCCGCTGTTGCAGGTGTGGCCCAGCCAGGTAGGCACAACCAACACACACGCTCGCTGTTGTCGCTTCTATCTGTTTGCGTGTGTGTGTGTGTTTGTGTGAACTGTAAAAGTGTCAGTTCGTATAACGAAAAATGATTTCTTTTTCACATTTGGTATTTGTTCTTTTTTGTTCTTTGTTCCTTTTTTGTTCATTTTCCTATTGAGGTTATGTTGTGCGTTTTGTGTTAATTTGTTTTCAAACTTTTCTCTTTTACCTAACCCCCTCGGCCCCACCCACAACCAATGTGCCACTTGTGCAACAAAAACTATACAATATGTTTCTGTGTGTGCGTTGCGTGTTTGGTTTGGTTTTGATTCCTGGTTTTGCTGGTTTGTTTCTGGTTTGGTAGCCGCTTTTGCGACAGGAGGGCTTCGTACAGTTGCGCCGTAACAGTGGCCCCGAGGGCCAGCGGGTATGCTTTCGTTCCTATAATACATCAAGTCTCTATCTCTCTCTCTCTCTTTCTCACACACCATCTCTCTTTCTCTCTCTCGCTCTAGTCTTCTGTTTTTAATACTAACTATTACTAATACGTTTACTCCAAACCTACAATTAAATTCGTAGATTTTTTTGCATGCCTCGATTAACATATATAAATATTCAAAAAGCAACGAGCTTCTGGCTCGCTTTTCCCCAAAACCCAATTATATTGACCGAATTTTGTAAAAAAAAATAAAAATCAAGTATATATATAAAACCATCCATATTACTTGAGGTTTTTTGCGTACTTAAAACACGTTTGTTAAATAGACTACGATTTTTGTGGCCCATTTTTGTCGAATTACCTTTTTTCTAACTCCATGCACAAAACATCGGGGATTTGCTTCAAATAATAAACTTTTGTATATAGCTTTCAGTTGATTTTTGACCATAGAGCAGCGTTTGTGTATATAGAATTTATTTTAAATATATTTTATGTATATATATATTTATTTTTAAAGCATGTTTTTAATTATTTAAATATTATTCTATTCGAATCTAATCAAGGTTAATTATTATTTTTAAAAACTATTTAAATTATTTAATTAAAATAATAAAAAAAAATATTCTTTTTATTGTTTTCAATATTTTTAGATAATTGGTTTAAATTACAAAAAAAAAAAAGATAAATAAATATTTTGTATAATCCTTTAATTTTTTTCTTAAAATAAAAAAAAAACATTTTTTATTTTTATTCTTATTATTTTTCTGTTACTTTGCTAGAATATTATTACTGAAATTTTTTTTTTTAGATTTCATTTGCTTCGATTTCACTGCCAAATAAAAATTCTATTGATTTTTAATTTTTTTATCAGCCAAATTTATATACAGAATATTTTGCTTAGTTTAGTTAACGCGACAAAATCGAATTGCACTTTATTTACTTATACAATTTTGTTCCATAACAAATTTTAACTCAATATAAACAAAAACAAAGCTGTCAAAAAGTGTATTTTTTTACTAAAATTTATTTTCAATATTTTTTAATTTATTTTATATATTTTAATTTAATAAACAGCAGACATACTGAAACTGTATACTTTGTTTTACTACAATCAAGTTTTAATATTAAACTTTTATTAAACACAGTTTCAAACTGAAATTTATTATCAACAAAATCTAGTAAAACTAAAAAAGGAAGACATCCTCTTGTCAACCTTATTATATTTTAAATTTAATCAAAAATTCTTTTTTTTCGTCAATTAATTTCAACTACTGAGTAAAAGAGAATTATATAAGCTTTGTAATTTTTATTAATAGACCTATCGATTAAACCTGGCACATAAACAGTCTAAACTTAACTAAAGACTTAACCCGTAAATACTAGACACCCTGTATATATTAAACTTAAGTAAATCACATGAACAAACCATCAACAATTGTTGAACACATTAAAAAACAAAAACAAAAAAACGAAGCAGAGAACTGCCTCCCACAGCTGCTCCCCGCACAAATGGCTTAAGAATCCCCGAAAATCCATCCAGTGCACCTCAAGGAGCAAATTTCATTTGTCGCTTGGCTCAACTCTTTTGCCATTTACAGGACTCACCGCGCGGCGAAGCGGATGGCCAATCCTTCATCTTTCCCGCCATTGTGGAGACGAGCGTCGGCAGCACCAACGTGGCATCCACCAGCAGCAGCAGCAACAATGACAACAACGACAGCAACAACTCCATCGCCACCAGACGCAGCAACAATCACCTGACACTGAGAACGGAGCGTCGCAGCTCCCTGTACTGTGATACCCTGCACGCCGGCGACTCTGGCATAGACTCAGTACAGGCATCGCCCTCGCCCAATGCATTCATTGCTCCTCCGGGCGTACATGGACTGCCCGGTGGCCATTCGGGCGGCAGGTCATGTCATGTGTCGCCCACCAGCACGCCCACACAGGGCTCGCCGAATCTATCGCTGGGTCGTCGGCACATGCGAAACAGCATCTGTGTGGTGCCCAGTGGCGGTGCGGCCAATTATAGACGCAAATCAAGTGCGCTACTGCATCCGGATCATGCGCGCTTATTTGCCCTAAGGATGAAGCATGCGGCTGCATTGGAGCGGGCGCAAACATCGCCGGATCAGACATCGATTGAGGATGCGAATGAGTTTCATGATAATGGACTGGCCACCAATATGCGTTTGTGCTCTGCCTCGTCGTCGACGACGTCGTCGCTGACATCCGTGGCAGCGGTCAGCCTGGGCGGGGGTGTGGCAGTTGCCGGTTGTGGGGGCGGCAGTGGTGGTGGCAGCAGTGGCGGCATTGCCACCGCCAGCAGCGGCGCCTGCTCCTCCTCCGCTTTTGCTGTCGGCGCGGCGGGCGCACAGCAGCGAGTCTCCGATCCTTGGCTGCAGCCACAATCCGATCGTGACTCGCGACACGGCCACCAACACGATGGCCGACGGCGTTCATCGACAATGACCGCCCGCTATTCGCTCTTCGATGCACTCGATCTGGAGTACGTGCTGCTCCGGGCGGCGGCGCGCGGCTCTGTGGGTCCCTACTCGCTGAGCGAGTCCATACACAAATTGACCTTCACACAGTCGCTGGCATTTCCAGCGCTGGCGCGCGGTCTGGCCACCAAGCGCCGGAGATCGGCTACGCACACCAGTTCCAGGCCGCTAAATCCGCACGAATCGGGCTTGAATACGTGCGCAAAGGTTGTTACCGCTGTCGTCCTGGTTGCCATCTCCTTCATGGTCTTTCTCATAGTGTACAAATTTGTGCGCACGTGAGGTTTGCTCCTGGCCCCGACGCCAGACTTCTCCGTCACATATCAGACGACCACCAGGGACGAAGTGGATGCCTCCACCTCTTTCCTGCTGTCCACGTCAACGGCGGGCCGCAGTCTGGGCAAACATTTGTCGGGGTTCAGGAGCCAGTTGGGCCTCAAGCAGGCAGACTTTGACTTTGAGTAGTAACAGGCAGACGGAAATTGTAAATGCAGTAACGAAAAATTTGTGATAAACTTTTCAGATGATAAACAAATTTCCACACACACACACACAGACAACATCAAGGCTTAAAACTATTAATGGTTAATCGCTTGCAAGTGTTTCAATTGCAGTAATAAATAGCATTATCATAGTTAAGCATTTTACATTTCAATATTTTGTATAACAATATCAAATTCTAAGTGCTTCAGCTCGTTGTGCGCGCGCCAACCAAATCGCTAGCAAAACGCGCGCATCGCAAAGTCGCTAGCAAAACGCGCGTGTTTCTTCTCGCATTTCTTAGTGTAGTAAAACTACTTTTATAGCAAAGGAAATTCATTTCATTATTTAAAGTGCCTAACTAACTAACTGTTGAGCTATCAAATGTATTTTTTTATTTGAAATACGAATTTAACAATTAGCAAAATCCCATTTTTAAATTGGCAGCAGGTTCCATAAATAAATAGAAAAAAAAACATTTTTAGTCAACTTTTCTAGTCGAAAAAAAATTTTAATAAAATTTCATAATTCTATTTCAAATATTTTAGAAGTTTTGTTATGTTTACAAACGTTTTTTAATGCTCTACGTATTAATGTGGTTGACAGTTGGAAGGGAAAATTAATTTAAATTAAATTAAATTTAGGAATAGGAAAATTTCAATTTATAAAATTATAAAAATATTATTTATTATAAAATTTATGATTTGCCAAGATATAGATATATTTTAGATATATTTAAATAATATATTAAAATATTCTGTTCATATAATAAATTTTTTTTATATATTTATACTATAATTTTAAGAGATCATATCATATGAAACATATTTCTAAAACATTTTGTTTTATCAAAATATACTTAACATATATTTTATAAATATTCATTTCATATCATATATAATTTATATAATATTTAGCAAAAATATAGCATAATCTTTTTTTTAAATATTATTTCATATTTAACCATTTTAAAAATATTGATTCCATATCATAAATATCTTTTATAAGATATAGAATATATTTATAAATTCTTCCTTCATCATAAATTATTTTTAACGTATTATATAAATTACTTTAAAAATATTTTTAAATATTGTTTTTAGATTTTTTTTAAATATTTTTATGCTATTAATACACATTATTTATTTAAATCATTTTTTTTATATTTGCCACCATAATAAGGAACTTTTTATTCCTCTAAAAGTTTTTAACAAAAAATTACTAAATATAAATAGTCCCTTCCAATTTGAAAACCCAATTTTAGCCTAAATCCAATTATTTATTTTAGCATTAAGCATTAAGCATATAATGATATAACAATTATATTTGTATTAAACTAAAGTAAATTAGATGTGCATATAAAGGCTATTTAAAATTTGTACTGAGTTGATAGATGGCTAAATATATTAAATTTAATTAATAAAAATAAACGCGCAAGGCATATAAAATTTCAATAATTACAGTAGTTATTTATATAGCTATATACATAAATATATATAAATATATATATATATAAATATATATATATATAAATATATATATATATATATATATATATATATAAATATAAATATATATATACAAATATATCTAGTACATATGAATGTTTATAAATGTATATTTAAGCGGCTTAATTGTGACAAAGCACTTGCTGAAATACAGATGGAAACAAGAACTCTCTCTAATCTTAACTTGCTGCCTTACTCTATCCAAATGACAAACCCAACTCGAAATTCATTTATAACTTGCTGCCTTACTTTCCTAACAATTTTACAAAAAAAAAGAAAAAAACAAAATAAAAGGAAACTTTACCAAAAAAAATGAAATAAATAAAAGCACACACCTCTTAAAATCTCAGAGCCTTTTTCCATTTTCCACTTTCTATGAGCTTGGCTTAAATGTTACGCAAATGTTTTTATAGAAAAATAAAATACCAAAAAACATAAACATAAACAAAATGTTAAATTAAATGTTTAAATTGAAACAAAAATATTCTATACAAATTTAAATGCTGGCATATTATTAAGTTTTTCTCTTTTTTATATGTGCATACATATATATGTATATATATAAATGCATAAATTATTTGTATAATGAATGAAAATGTAGCGTAATTAAGAAACGGAATGAAATGAAAAACTTGTTGCAAAAGCTCGCGTTAATTCATGATTAATTAAGGCCTCGCGTTTGGGCTGCTGGCATAACAAAATATTTATGGCAAATATGTAAATGCAAATAAATATTAAATGTCCACGATAGCGAGCTGCCACAGCAGCCAAAGCCAAAGCCCAAGCTACCAAAAGAAAAACAAAAACAAAAAATAAATAAAAACATTAAATTAATTTAAAATTAATTAGCCGCAACAACTGTAACTGAAGTAAGTTTGAAACGTGCAACAATAAATATTTTCAAAAAAAAAAAACAAACAAAATTTAATCTATATATTAATTACTTTTTATTAATTCAAATGATAATGAGTTGAAATGAGTTGAGTTCAGCTGACTGGATTAATAACTGGGGTCTAAATGGTTTTACCAATTTTCCATTTTTTCATCAGCAAAGATTTTTGATTTTATATATGACACTATACAACGAAGATTTTATTATTGATAGATGAATGAATGATGAATGCTTAATTAAGGACGATTAATCAACTTAATTGTCAAACAAGGACAAAGGAAAATATACCCAAAGGAAAACACTAATTGCAGCACACCAAGTGTATATTGCAATCAGATAATTTCGTTAGCAAAAGACCAATTCATATATCTACCGTAAGTACTTACTGAAGTGTAAATTATAAATTATCGTACACTTAATTCAAATGACATTTCAACGATAATAAATTGTTGAAATGCAAACAGCAGCTGAAACAGTTTAAAGTAAATTTAAAAAACAAAATAAGAGGTGCTATGAAAATATCCTCGAATGAAATGTGAATAAAACAAAATATAAATTTAGAGATAAAGTAAAGACTCATGCATCATAGCTATAAAAATTTAACTGACTTGCAGCCACAGCTGCCGACAAGAGCTGCATATACAGGGTATCACAGCTGAGCATTCTCATTTGCATAACAACTTTTGCACACTTTATATATATAAAAAATCGATTTCTATAGAGAATGAAAAGTTTAAATTGCAATTGGCAAATTTTGCGGTGCAATACATAAACAGAAACGATTTAAGCCAATGCACATACATACACATATACACATACATGTGTGCACATATGTGAGCATCCAATCTCAGCAAGAAGTTTTAGCCAAAAACAATTCTCATCTATTATGCTTATCTGTGTCTGCTTGCTGAGCAGCTTAATACGATTTCTCTGATAAATTGCTCGTCCTTGCCAAATCACATTTCCTGCTCCAATCCTAATCTAAATAATTAAACAAACTCAATTAGATGTGTCAGAAAATTAGAGAGTCGCAGAGCTCACATATGTGTGAGACGACTGTGAGTTGTCAATGACATGGAAGCTGTGCTCTATGTTGATTTGATTACGTTGAAAGACAGCAAGCGGAAACGGATTGCCATTGTTACTATATAGACTATAGACTATATACATCTAACAGACATCTATCAAGACTAGACAACTGCCAAAGGCAAATATTCAATTTATTTCCGCAGCCTGATGTATGAACAGTTGACTGAATGAATGGCAACGGCTCAGCATATTCTTAGCATATCAAAAGCATAAAAATAACTGCCGCTTGTGTCCTCTGTGGTGCCATTTTTGGCTTTTGTGCGAGTCTAGTGCATAATTAAAGGCACAAAAAAAAGAAAAGAAAAGCAAAGGAAATATCCATGGAGCGCATATGCAACAAACAGAGGCAACATTTCAATGGCAATACTCTGGCCGGAAACGAGACTTTTGCGGAATATAATAGTAGTTTACGTGTGAGCATATACACATGCACAAACACACACATACAGACATAACCACATACATACATGCTGCCGTATTGACTCACACGAACATGTGTATAATGCGAATATCGATGTTTTTCGCAAAAGCTCGAAAGAAATGAATATTGACGCTGTTCCCAAACACAGTTTAACAAGCAAGAAATTTATATTTTATTTTACTTTAATTTATATAGCATATTATTTGGGAAGTGTATTAGAAAAGTGGACAAATTTTAAGGCATGTCATGGGCAGCTGCATATCATTGTAGCCAGACTTCCAACAAATGCAATTTTTATTTAAAATATGTATATATAAATATATATAAAATATAATAAAAGTCGAATATATATATATATATAATAAATGTCATAATAATTTAAATAAAAATCAAACCGGCTTTGACTTGGCATGCCTTTTTGCAAGCCGCATATGCTGTTTCTTATGCTTGCAATCAACGCCAGATTCGATTTGCACATGAAATATAGAGAATATGATTGATAAATATATTAATATTTTTATACTATATATTTTTCAAAAATTTTATTAAACTAGAAGACTGCAGGTCTAATCTCTCTTAGTTAACTCAAGCAAGGCATAAACCGCCAAGAGCTGAGCTGCTCCTCTGTTGTTTATTGTCTTAGACTCTATAGCGCACTTAGCTCTAAGCCTTAACTAAAGAGACTCTAGACTTATTTGTTTCCCTTTCTATTATATTCAACAATATTTCGAGTTCTTTAGATTGCCCTGCGGCGCAAAGCTTGTATTCTGTTCAGCCTTCATCTGTTGTTATTGTTAGCCAGGCACGTTGTGAACTGCTTCGGCTGCGCTGCCAATCGAACCGCATAGCAGCCTAATTAGCAGTTTACCTCTGATTAATGTAATATATATAATTAATATTAAATATCGAAGCAATAATTTGCTTAACAAAATATGTTTTCATGTTCAAGACTTGGAGCCGAAGTCCATCTGAAAACCTTTTACATATATCAAGTCAAATTATATTTGAGCAAAATATGTTTTGGAAACAGAGTAAAATTTCAAACTTTGCTTATTACAAGATCTCAACTTAACTGTAACAAAAGCAACTACAAGTTAAACAAATTAGTAAGAATTAAAGCACTTCATAAGTTGTAAATTAAACAAAAAAAAGTCTATTTGGCTATGCAAATGTGATTTTGGGAATGCCCCGAACCGTATGTAAATATCTGCGTATGTGAGCGTAATATAAATGTCCATTTTATGCGGTCTCTCCGTTTGTGTTAGCCGACGCGGCACTTGCATTAAAAATGCTCAACATTTTTGCCTTTTGATATGGCTCGGGCCGGGCCATATTTTTAGCTCTCAAGGTTGGAAAAGCGACGGATGCGATTGCGGATGTGGATGATTTGAAAAGTGGGTAGGCAAGCAGTTAAGCGGCGGGCAACGACGTAGGTTAAACACACAAACACACACACACACATACATATGAAGCGCCTTGAGAGCAAAGCAAATACAGCCACGTCGCAGGTGTTGCTGCAAATTTTTTTTTGTTTTTTTTTTACTGTGAAACTTGTTGCCAAACGGACTCTGCACTCGAATCAACCTTGACTCTGAGCATGTGTCCTTGAGTATTGTAAGCCTTGAAAAATTGAAAAATTGTCGAGCAACGAAGACTGCGCGGCATATGTGTAGCCAAATATATATATCTGTTTTGGGGCTTTTTTGGCGAGGCCAAAGTGAAGAGCGCCGTTATGGAAATTCCTTTTCAAAATGAATGCAGCCTAAGGCTACCTTTGAGTACAAAAATTTATTATCAATTTATATCAGTTAGTATGCTAGATATAGTCTGAAAAGTCAAATACTAAGATGATGATCCTGCTTTATTAATATAAGCAAATAAAAACAATACAAAAATAACTTAAAATTAAGTTAAAGTTTCCAACGACCGAACTCCTTTTATCTTTATAACTAACATCTTGAGTTTTTCCTAACTCTTAACCCTTACGCAATTCAATTAAAATTGATTAAAGATACACAGCAAAAAGGTTAAAAAGAGCCACGCAGCACAAAATGTTGCGGGTAAATAACTTTTGGCTAACACAAACACACACACACAGCATTTTTTGCTCTGTCTGCGTGTGTGTTTTGGGCCTTAGAGACACATGTAGAAGCACACACACCACCCGCACACTCATATTTTTATGCATGCGTTGTCACAACAACAAAACTGCCTCCTGCAGCAATGGAAATTAGTTCGTTTCATACATTTTAACTGCTGAAATATGTATGCTGCGAACCATAAAACATGCTTCAAAACAAACTCATGCAACAGTGCAACAAAAACGTGTGCGCTTGAGTCGGCAATCAACGACTAGCAAATACCCTAAACAATAATATGTTCTCTGCATTCCCTATCAAATTCTAGTGGTTTTATTTGCGTTTATATATGAAGATGATCCCACACGCATTAATTAAGCTATGTCTGTGATTATTCTGTTTTAATATATATTATATGTTTTTAATGATAATAATGGCAAATACATTTATAGCTGTTCAATGCAGAAAGAAGAAACTAGATATACCAGCTTTGTTTATAAAAATAGTAGTGCAACTGAGCACTGAATGTTGGACAAAAAATATGTAGTTTAAAATACAATATTTTGACTGCAATTTGAGACGAATATTAAAGTGAACATAGTTTTATTAACTTAGATGTTTTTTGCAGTGCAGGGCTTGAGAAAGAAAATTAAAGAAAATTTAAGAAAATTTATTTGTTCATAAAAATAATAGTGATTATTAAAAAAAAAACAAAGAAGCTATTTAACTAATAATAAAAAGTATTCAAAACTATTTAACATTAATTACATTAAAAGTTGTTATCTGCTGAAAAAGAAGAAACAAAAAGTTGAACATTAATTTAACAAATAATAATTTTTCCTTATTTTGCAGCCACTACTATTTCAATGAACAGCTAAATATTTTCCATAAATTATTAAAAGTGATATCCGTATTTATGGATATTTTGACTATGCACATAATAAATATTATCAAAATGATCATTAACACATAGATCATTAACTTATTAATATTATTTAATATTTATTATATAAACAATTCATTAAAATTAAATTAATTTAACTGTTACAATTGTTCTTAATATATTAAAATCTTTAACTATTAAAATATTTAGAGGAGCTACTACACGACTGATCAACAAAAGCCCAGGCACACAACTGAAGAGGCGCAGCGAAGCGTTCATATAGAGCGAAGATCCCACTCAAAGTCGAGCTCAACTTTCTTGAGCTAAAATCTATTTGTTACTCGATGAAAAGGCAAATTGAAGTAATTTCTGCTGCCTCTAGCTACTCACACAATCAAACAAAGAGGTAGGTCAGGCAAACAAGCATGATCTAGCTATGCTTGCTTATCGCATAAGCTTATCGCTCTGATCAGGAATTATATACATATATATTTCATATCTTTTACATACTTTGCAGTAAGAAAATGTAGCAAAGCAACAGAAAGTCTAATACAATGGTTTATTAACAGGCCAAGAATATAACAAACAATAATTGATGTTTAAAGTTAAACAAATCTCGATAATATATGATTAAAATATAAAATATATTGATATATATATATATATATATATAAATTAGTGTACATATATGTACACTAATTTGCATATTTTGTTTCCTGTGTTTTTAGTCAACTAATTTGCAATTTGCATTTTAAATTTGTTTAAGCTCAACTATTTGTGTGCATCTCGTGCAGACAATTGTGTTATTGTTTTCGTTTTTTCGTGCCCCTTGGCAAATGTCTGGAAGCGTTCTTGTTTTTATTTTTTAATGAATTTTAAATTTCACTTAAGCTGGCATGCAGCGTCGTAAGAATAATTTAATATACAATTTTGATATGTAACTACTGTGCCGGCAGCTGCTTCTGATTCAATGGCTGGCAACGACCAGCGCACTGAGCTGCGGGCAAGGACAACGGAGGAGGACTCCGCCCTCGCTTATTCGGATAGTCGCCAATCCACAGGTTGCCCAGCACGCGCTTTTGTTCTCTCCGCCTGACAGCTAATTGGGGCCAACTCTCCTTCTTGCGACTATTTTATGGTTGCCACACAAAAGGCTCTGTCCGCATGGACATTAAGAGGTCCTTGTCGGCACCTGAGTCTTCGTCGTAAGACAATTATGAAATGACCTTTTTATAGCCTATTATTAGCTTTACCCAAGTGGGGTATTGTGATTGCGTTTGTAACGGGCACACAAGCATAAAGGGACTGAGAGAACTGACAACATTTTTATGCTTGACAATATCACAAGTGCTTTCCTGTAGCGTACGCAAATTTTGTGAGCTTATATATATTATATATGAAATGCCAAGTAATGGAATGAAAGTGAGCAAAAAAATCAATAAATTAAGTATATAATGTGAGGATACTGAGAAGCATGTAAAAGCAAAAACAAAATATAATATACATATTTATAATATAATATATTTAATATTTTAATTCCTTGCTTTTATTATTATAGGCAAATATCTTACATTTATCATATTAGGTAGCTTATAGCACTTTAATCATTTTTCATATTATTATTATTAAATATTATACCTTATACTATTATCACAAGCAAATATTTTGCATTTGTCATATGAAGCATTTTGAAATATATAAAAATATATTATAATAATATATAATATAATATAATAATTTGATTAAAAATTAAACAATATAAACATAAATTTTTTTTCCGCTTCATTTTACAGATATTCAGAAGCAAAAGCAAAAAAGCTTGCCCACTCATTTAAATGAAGGCAAACAGCCTATCGATAACTATATTTGGCGGTCTTCGGCTTACTTAAAATATCGCAACAATAGCCATCGATACCCTATACACCAAGGAGGAGCAAAATTTGCAGTGATTTTATTAGACATGTTCAAAATGTAGATATTAAATTTCTAATATTAAATAAATGATAGGATAAATATTAATGTTACCGTAACTTTCTAATTATTGCAAATTTTCTTATTGTTACATTCAAAATGCCAAGCAAAAACAGTGACTTACGAACCATCACTACGTTTATGCCGCTCATCTCCAACAAATTTAGCTTCGATTCGATAAACAGTTTTTGCCGGCTAAATAAATTGACCAACTGTAACACAAAGCATTAAAATGCAAAAGCCAACAGATGAGGAAACATTTCAAATGCAGGCTCTAGAAATACACGAGCCAGATGAAAGCTTTGATCCGCAGAAACCGCCACAATCTGGTGAGGAATACCTGACACACATGCTCTACGAGCGCAAACGTTGCCCCGCAGTGGTCACAAAGCGGTCCATGAAAATAAAAAATAATGTCACAAGCAATGGGTGTGAAATGTTGAGTAGCGTAAGTGTCGGGGCATTTCTATGTTATCCTAAGTCCTTAACAAGTAATACTGTTGCAGCCACCCTTGCCGCCTCATAAATGCCTGCTGCCTACGTCTGAGTGGCGGGATGTCCAAGTGAAAAACTTCAATAAAGCACGTGAACGCGTTGCTGCACTACGTCTGGAACTGATAGCACATCAATATGATCAGAACATTGAGCCGCCGCTTACTACAGACGTTGAAAAATGGTATGAATTCTGTCGCACACAGCAGCCACTGTTGAGCACATTGCTGCGCCTCAGTCAAAGCGATTTGGAGCTGTTGCTGGAGCTGCTTAGCAAGTGGCTGCAGGAGCCCAATCAGACATCGATTGAAACCGATGAGCCAAGCACTTCTGCCAACGCCTCGAAACCCATAGATTTATTGCACGATTCTTGGTTAGCGCGCTGGCTATATGCTAACTTGGTCTGCCTGCATCTCCCATTGGAACCGCATGTCTTTAGCACTTTGCGCTGTATAGGACGATCCTGTGTGCTGCTACGCAATCAGCTGCAGCCGCTGGAATTCGAGCGTGCTGTGCCTTATAATCTCATTATTACGTTGATTGTCCTATGCTTTGCACAAACGGACTTCAACGTCTACCTCTAAGCAGAGTAACTATACACAATTCACTTAAAATATCAGCCAATGTATTTCTAATTTCTTAACTCTGAAAGTATTTGATGTATTCTTGGCAGATATGGCAGTTGTTCTCATGCTCAACTGCACCTGTACTAACCAAGGTGTGGGTTTGGCTGCAATGTGTCGAGTCTGAGCTTGTACTTAGGCTCGCAAGTGATTGGGAGCTGTGCCGTGTGGTATTCGAGCAGGTGGACAACCGACGTGACTGCTGCTCATACAAGATTTCGCTGTCTGTTGAGTGGATGAGGCTGTTGTTGGAACCACACTTCGATTCCTTTGAGTGGCATACAGTTTTCTGCTTGCGAGGCAGGTCCACGCGGTTCAGGCAACGGCTCTCGACATGGCGATTATTTACCTTCCGCTCCAGATTTACTTTGCAGCATTTGCGTTGTTTGTCCCGCATGATCAAATTCGCTGACATTTCCACTTTGGGCGCCAGTATGCCCGGAAAGGCAGAGGTGGCCCTCATCAGCAACTGGACGTTACCTGAGTGTTCGCAACTAAGAGGGGGTATAGATGGCTGCATTAAGTCCGACAATTTGCCCACATAGTAGGCCAATCGACGTCCATTTTGCCACATAGTTATCTCAAGTTGCTCGGAGTTCAGCATGTCTCGCATCTGACCAAGAGAGGCAACACCCTTAAAATATCCTTCCATAGTGAACTGGTCATGGCAAAGCATAGGGAAACGCGGCTCCATGGCGCCAGTGCGAAAATAGTAGCCCAGGGTCTTGATGGTGGCCTCCAAACAGCCATGGGTGCACAGCCAGACTCCCGGACAGGTCACCTAGAAGAGTCAACAAATTATTATTAAGCTTTCAAAATAGAAGAGTACAAACCGCATGTAGCTGCAGTATAAGGCGCATAAAGAATCTCTTGTGTGACATTGTAGTTTCTGCTCTTGGTATGTGTAAAAATTTTCACAAGCATTTTGTATCCAATTGGGGTTTGGGGCATATTTGTATTTGTTTTGACAGTAAGAACGTTGCCAAGGACACCAAAATTAATTTCAAATATTGCGCGCCTAAGTGATGATAAATTCTTCGAATAATAATCGATAACAACGATTATATGATAACAGCTAGTGTGCAGCCACCAAATTTGCGTGGCTGACAAAAATAATATATCAGTAAATAACTTAGGCAGATTTAAGAAAACTATAAATATTTCAAACTACATTAATGGGGAAGAAAAGAGAACCAGTTAGGTATAAACACTATTACATTGTGCGCCTGCCAGCTCCTGATATTTCTGTGTGAATGTCAAAAAGTAATGAAGAAGTGTACAGATAAATAATCTACTACAATCAATTATCACACGTCAGTTTCTTTGATTACATTGCTGGCAGCTGTGGGAAATGTTGCGCCAATTATTTATACTTGTATTATTGGTCCTTCTAAATGACTCAAACTGCGAGCAAACACCTGAGGAGGAACAGGGGGTGCGCTATGCCAATCGCTGCGAAGCCTGCAAAATTCTTGCCGCCGAATTGGAAGCTCGATTGGGCGAAACCGGCAAATCGCACGATGTCATTGAAATTGGTTACTCCGTGGACGACGTGCGCCCAAAGAAACGCACCGAATACAGGCGCAGCGAGCTGCGTCTGCTCGAATCCTTGGAGAACGTGTGCGAGCGCGTGCTAGAGTATAATTTGCACAAGGAGCGCACGGATAGCACAAGATTCGCAAAGGGCATGTCGCAGACCTTCCAAACGCTGCACGGTCTGGTGGACAAGGGTGTAAAGGTTGATCTGGGCATACCCTACGAGCTGTGGGACAAGCCGCCCGTCGAGGTCACCCAAATGAAGAACCAGTGCGAAAACATGCTCGAGGAATACGAAGATGCCATCAGCGATTGGTATTTCCAGGAGCAGCAGCAGAAAACTCTGCAGCAACACCTGTGCGAGGATCATGTGTTAAAGCGGGCTGAGGAGCGTGAGTGCCTCAAGGAACAGCTAACACAGAAACCAAAGAGCAAAAACCGCAAGTCCAAAGGCGATAAGGAAGAGTTGTAGCTGCGTTAGTTAAGTCAAAAAGAGATTGTAGCTAATCCTAAGCATAGCCATTTAGTGAACAAAGTGTTTAAAGCTAAGATAGAAAACTTACTCTCTGTATTCCGTATGCTTCCAAGCTGACTGAAACACGAAATGTAACTGACCCACTATCGATTGGCAGCGCAATTCCATTTGCAGCCCTTGAGAAATGGGTGGCAATCGACATGAGGGCAGGTTTCCAAAATAGTGTCCACATTTTCGTACTACTTTCGTTTATACGATGATCTTTGTAACGTGATAATAAGCAAACAAGACATGAAGTCCCTATGAATTCTGGTGTTGCTTTATAAATAAGTTAAAAGTTCATTTATGTTTAATTAAATGTCTCTTAATGTATGTTTCTTTAAAAATCAATTGAAAATATGTTTCTTTTTGTTAAATTGTAGGATTCCAAGAGCTTTTATATGACATAAAATGTGCCTTTGCTAGAAAGATCTGTCAAAAGGTATGTATCAAAAAGATTCTGTTAGATAAATTAAAAGATTTTAAAAACTGTTGTGCTGTAATTTCTAAGAAAGTTTAAATCCATTTAAATTGTCTAAATAAGCTGAAAGAAAGTGAAAACTGTCTCTGATTTTTTTAAAGTTAAGACAAAACTTTGAATCTATGTAACATATTCCATTATACCAAGATCTGTTCTAACTTGATAGATAAATATAACATAAGCTTTAAGTTCAGCTTACAAGTTTTTTCCAATTCATATTAAATATCCATTTTTTAAAACGTTCCTTAATTTACATTGAGCTGAAATGAAATTAATAAACTGCTTGCTCAACTCGCAGCTTAACATGTGCTTTAGCAGCCAGTTTACAAGCACATTGCAAGTGTAATTCTTTGATTTTATTGCGTTTAATTTATAATAATCACGCTTAAAGGACTTCATATAAATGTAGCATATGCATTGTAACTGTGTTTTGTTTCGTTTCGTTTGCTTTTTGTGTATAATAAATACGTTACGTATGTTTATTATTATTAATAAAAAAATAAGTAATTTTTTAGTAGTTTAGTAGTTAGTTCATCTTTCTTGCTGCAGTTGTGTGGAATCACTTAGAAGTTTCGTTGCAAGCGTCAGTCATTGAGTAAAAAAAGAAAGAAAAGGATGCAGTCCAGTCTTTGTTTCTTCTTCGTATGCTGCGACTTGGTGTTGTCGATCCACATTTGGCAGATCTTTCTTTGATTATTATTATAATCTGGAGTATGCTTAGAGTTTCATCACATCCCACGGATCGTCCATGTAGTGTAAGATGGCTTTCTCGTGCAGTTTGTCGCCAAAGACCTCGCGCAGCAGCCGTAGCACCTGTTCCTCAATGAACGCCACCTGATCCTGGGGGCAGTAGTCATCCTGTGCCGAGTGCGCCATCGTAATGGCCACTGGAGGCACGGGCAGACGCTGCAGAAAACGCTTAAAGTGCGCAAAGTAATCCTCCAGCTCCTTGGTGGTGCTTATGTGATGGGGCAGTCCATTATTATCCGTGGTGCTGCCCGAGTCGAAGATGAGCAACCAATCGATTTCGTCATCCGGATATTTTGCCTGCAGCTGCTCAGCCAATTGTAGAATTTTGGCATAGATTTGTGGCGTTATGACAGACTCATCCGGTTTCTCCAGGCCCTCGAAGCTGCGCTGCTCCTCCAGATGCCAAAAGATGCGCTTCAGTGCGTCCAGCTGTTTCTGTCGCGTCTCCGCTGTGGCACAGTAATCGGCAATGGTGGCCGTGCCAGCTTGCTTGGCCGGCTCCACGCTCTCAAAGTGAAAGATCTCCGTTAGCTGAGCATAGCAATTGGCATCTTTGTAGATTTCCAGAAACGGATTCGATGTACTAAAGAAGTCTAAGTCAATGTCCAGTATAAAACCCGCTGCATCCTTCTCCGATAGGAACTCTGTGGGATCCAGCGATTCACTGTCTGCATCGTGCACTTGCAGCTCCACACAGCGCGCCTCCTGCAGTTCATCGCTTGTGCAATAATTTCCCTCGGCTATGAAATAGTCCAACGGACAATCCACACCAATGCGATCCTCCTTGTGCCCGATTTTGAACTCATGCTTGCCTGTGGGTATCTGCTGGCACCACGAATTCTTCAGCCAGACCACGCGATTGAAGTGACCTAGAGTTAGTTAGAGATCTCTCTTTAGTAGCTCTTTGGGTTTGGAAATCTGAGTCTTACCTGCATATAGGGTGGGCATAATCCAGTTCTCGATGCTCAGCTCGTTGAGCATGACGTCCTTGTCATAGCTGGCACTGGCTGGTATGTCGCGTGCCACTACCAAATCTGGATGTGAGTCAAAATGCACCAGGACATTCCGCTCCAGCGGCAAGTGCCGTGTGGCCAGGCATCTGTAGATGAACTCAAGCACATCGTTGTGATAGTCGACAATGAAGACGGGTATGCGATTAAATTTACGCAAGCTGCTCTGCGTGCTTTGTGCCCGCTCTACGGCAATCAGCTGAGGCACCTGTTCCTCAGATTCCTCTTCTTGTTGCTCCTTCTGTTCCTGCTGCGGCTCATCAGCAACATCTTCAGCGATTTTCTGTCGCTTGATTGGCGGAGGTGTTGCGTCGCCTTCAACTTTAGCTTCCCCCTTGCCACCCACAACGCTTTCACTTTGCAGCGGCGTCTGCAACTCCGCCGCCGCCGCCGACGCCGTACTTTCTATTTCCGTCGTATCCGATTCCATCGTTGCAATTTGAATTAAAATCTTCAACTTCAACTTCAACTTCAGCTGCTGCAGTTGACGGCGCGTGCGAAATGACGCAGACTATATTTCACAAAAAAAATATATCAAGTATATATCAGTAAGGCAGACGACCTCGACGCTCGGCGTTCGACGCCGTTTGTTTTAATGCAAACAATACAAATACAGTCGAAAACGATTTTTTGGGGGGAAAAAGTGGGATTGTGCAAGTGGGAGGCAGAGAGACAAGACAAAAAGCTAATGAACCCATTAGTGATGGAAAATATCGAAGTGCTGCCATGTATCGATAATGTCAACTGATATTGGTGCTGCCACATGCCAGGGCTACACAATATTCAACAAGTGGACAGCTTCCCAGCATATAGCTTTTAATTGGTTCTAAAACCAGCTAATGGCTGTACTGTGCATTGGCTATGATTAAATTAAAATTTTTAATTAAAATAAATATTTTTTTGTGAGGGAAACATAAATACGTATTGTGTTTGTGCACCCAAATGTGTATATTTTTTCTGTATACCAACATCAACTTTAATATTAGTAATAAAATTTAATGATCATTACGCAGCAATAATATGGCAATCCGCAAAAGCCCTGCCAGCCCACGCGCAGCACGGGAGCAGCAGCAGAGCAGCTTTTCATTCATAAGTTTTTGCCGTTTTACTACACACCCTACTCGCACACACACATACGCAAACACACACGTGCTTATATACAACTGTTACTGTATTTACATACAAATACAAGAAACATGCCAATAAAAAAGGGAAATGGAAATCGCCCACGTTGGCATTTTTGTTGGCTGATTGGAATGCGTAAAATTCTGCCGCCGTTGCCGCTGCCGCTGCCGCCGTCGCAGTCGCCATTTCTGTTACTCACACACAATGTGCCGCTCAGTGTGGGTGGAAATGAATGGCGTGCTGGAAGAAACGCCGGCAGCGGCGTTAGCATCAACGTCGCCGACTCTGCCTGCGTGCCTGGCATGCGTGGGCGCGCAATTCCGCAGCGCGTTATCAAAAATAAAATGTACACACATTTATATACAAGCACTTTGTTGGGGTATATATATATATATATATATGTGTGTGTGTATGCGTGTGTATATACGCACACATTTTGGCCAGGCCAACGGGCGAGGCTGCCGTTGCGTGGGCCGCGCTGCCTTGCGCGGTGCGGCAAATTACAATATCCAAGTGGCAAGTTTTTTGGGCCGTTGATGACGGCGCACTTTTATATGACGCCTACACGTCCGCACGCTCCACATTTGATTTTTACAAATTACGTGGGTCAACATAATTAACGGCCCTGCCAACCGAATGCGACTGCGACTGTGAATGTGAATGCGAATGGCGGTGCCCAATGAAGTGAACAACGGAAGTGACAGAAAGCAGCAGCAGCAACAATTTCCAATTGAAAAATCAACTGGGAAAGTTCACATTTTGGTTTATTGATTCAATTGGCCGCAATTGGCAATGCGGGCTTACAGCTGTTTGTTATTGTAGCTTGTATTAATTACAAACACACAGTCAAAGAAGCCCAAAGCTCAACTCCACATACATACACACACACTTACTTAATGATCGTCGTCATTGTTGAAGTCGTCGTCGTCATCGTCATCAACTGAATTTCATATTGCGCTTTCAATTCTCGCAATTAATTTGCCTCCAGCTTGACCCCAAAGGTCAAATACAGCCGCATTAACCTTCGTTAGCCCCTTACGGCCCAATTGAGCAAAACGGGCAAAGCAACATTTTTCTACTTGACGCTCTAGTTTAAAAATACATGCCCATAAAATGAAAAGCTGCCAACCATCAGCCAAAATGAAAAAATCCTTTAAAAATTAAAAGGAATACAGCGAGGTTTGCTTAGCCAATTATTGACTAACAAATAAATATGTAAATGAGAAATGAAAGTATTGAAAAAGTGCAGCAATCAATTTGCAGATATTCATCGATATGTGCTAGTCGATACAGTACAGCTAGAGCGGAGGACTGCATGTATATATCGATACTTCAAGTATGGCTTATGTGACTATGATGACATGAGCTTAAACTAATATATCGATAAAAATTTGCATGCGAGTTAAGTAACAAATTACAAATGAATTTCCATACAGCAATATTTGCTAACAATTCAAGGACTGCGTAAATAATGTACAATATTATAAACCTTTGACATTCTTGGTACGTCTGTAACAGCTCTCCGAATGACGTCAAAAGGATTTTTGGCGTAGGTGTCTAAAGCACAGCACGTGGAGAAGCTGCTGGGCTGTTGGATGATTGCGATTGTTCGACTGACTTGTTAAACTGAGTCACCCTGCGACTTTGCCACAAGAACATTCATACGCACACGCACACAAACAGAAACGAGTTGAAGAAGCCAGAATGCTTAGCCCACAGATGCGCGAGTCAGTCAGTCAGGCAGTCAGTTAGTTGGCCAGGTGTAGGTTTGCTTTATATCAATCGCCAGTTTAGCTGACAAGCCAATAGTGGCGTCATTGGCTCACACAACAACACTTTAAACAAATCCGCAACACTGCCCCCACAGCTGGAGCAGCCGGCTCTGGTCAAAAAAAAAAACAAAAAACGTCAAAAGCGTTGATCGCCGATTGCCGACTGGCGCCCACAAACATCCGCTGCATGAATCAGTTTTAGTATTCTATATAGCTGCAGCACTAATGCTGGACAGCCTCCACAGATGCACACACACACACTTGTACATGTGGCTTGGTATGCTGCGGATCAGACCGGAAGTATGCCAGCTTAATGTGCTTGATATTTCTGTGTGTGAGAAAGAGAGCGGCGCATGTATCGTGCTTTTTAGTTCTTAATCCCTTTGGCGTTACTTTAGGTCAGTTACTGAAGCTGATAATGCCACAAAAGGGGCAAATGAATTGCTGTGGCAACCAGATAGCGCACTTCACCCGACTATGACTAATTTTAGACTCGAGAAACTGAAAGTAAACTGTAAGCACACTTATCAATAATATATAGTTTATATTGCTCATGCAATGTCAAGGATGAGCACATTAAACAATTTTTATAGATTGTTGTAATCGTTGTCTCAATTAATCATTTAACACATTGAGTAATGTGTATAAAGCGAAGTGATAAGTTATAAGAACTATAATAACTATTATTTTATGAGTTTAAGACTATATATTAATGTAGAATATATATAGTATATAGATAACTGTATCTATCACAGCTGAGTTCGAATCTTGAACTTCATTCACTTCCTTTGCTAAGATCCTGCATCTGTATTTTTGGGCTTATCTTTTGTCAATTAATAAGTAGTTTTAACTATTTTTTGTTCCAACTTGAATTCCATTAAAATTAAATAAATTTGGATATTTAGCATATTATTTTTGGCAACTCATTATTCTCTTTTCATTTTTTGCATAAGATATATATGCTTCCTAGAATTCCTTGTCAGACTTGGAACTATATTTAGCTGCATGTGATCATACCAGCATCATTCACGCTTTAGTCAAGGAAAAATTATTGTAAGCATTTCGACTTCCCAGAATTTTATTGCCCGAAAAGAAATGCGTATATCAAACCGATTCACCTTCAACTTGTATCGATACAATTGACCGATCCTATACTATATACCACCAAGTAGGATGCTGACTAAGACTTAGAATCGAGAGAGGCCAGCACGCGCTTAGTCAGCCTTTGTCTTCCTTTAGAATACCTCAATGGCAATGACAATGAGAATAGAATTTTAGCTTGATTCATTGAGAAACTAGTTCGCATTGTCTAGATCGGATTTGGTTGTAGTTTAGTTATGACGTCACATCAATGAAATCTCTTGATATGCACCAACTGAATATCAATTTGCACATACGCAATTTGTAATATATCGCCCAATTAAAGTTCAGTTTTTCAGGTGGCCCGCAAAATCGAACAGGTGAGTCACAGCCAGGCATTAGTCAGCCAAATCAGCTATAACCAGGTATATTTCAGAACAAATTAGACAAAAAAAAATAGCTGCTATCGGCGTTATCTGTTGTTCGCTGAGCTACTTTGGGGCGCGTCCAGGGACGCACCCCTGTGCGGGCTGACCTTGTGGGCGTTGTTTTTAACTTTTTCTTCTCCCTTTTTTTTATTTTTTGGAGCGTCAAGGCCATGACATAGACTGCACTTTGATGTTGCCAGGTCGCGTAATTTATACCGCAGGGCTTACCTAATTTTCAATTTTCTCTCAACTTGTTTCCAAGTCCCACGCGTTTTTTTCCTGCCCAGCTTCTATTTCCAGGCGTGTCGCAGGCTCGCAAGCCCTGCTCCTCGGCTCCCCAGCTCCCCAGCCGGCCTCCTTTGAAAGCGCGTGGGCTGCGAAGCACAAGTGGGCTGAGCAGGGCGCGAAGAGGGTTGCTTTGCCAAGGGGGGTTTGTTCGGGGCGCTTTGCTGTATTTGCCTTTTGCGTGGGATTTTCATTCATGAAAATATCTGCTTCGAGTCACACTTTTGCAGCTGTCGCCATTGCCTTTACCGTTGGGTACATAAAAAGCACGTTGTGCTGTATATGTATGTATGTGTGATTGTGTATCTGTGTCTATATATATATATATATACATAAGCTTGGGTCCCAAGTTCGAATGGCCGCTCTGCCGCTCTGCCTCCCTTTAGCAAGGCAGCGCCTGCGCCTTGACAAGCTTTTCGATTGTGTGTGTGTGTTGAGTTGGGGGTTATGTTGCTTGGGGCCGCTTTTGGAGAAATTTTCTGCACGCGCATAGGCATATCCTTGAAATTCTGAGGCTTGGGCCGTGTTTGTTGTTGTTGCCTTTTTGCAAATATCAGGGTCACGGTTATAAATTTAAACATTCTGCTAGTCTCCAAAAACGACCCTGTTGGCAACCCATGTCCTTGTGGACATTGTGTGCGTGTGTGCATGTGTATGAGTGCGTGTGTGCTTGTGAGGGAGAGACTTAACTGAATATTTCAACTTCATTGATGAGTTTTGGGCGCTGTTCAACTTCATAGTCTATTATCCACTTGAAGGTCTGTTAACCGCCGCGCTCAACATTTACGCAGTTGAGCTTCCACTTCACTCAGCCAGTTACAACGCCACTTCGCCAACCCCACCCCCACCTTTTGCTGCTCCAATGGGTTCGCATTCATAACCACTCGCAGGAGTGTAGACTCAATACATATGTATTGTATATATACCCACATTCATATATAACATATATAAATTGTTTCTATATAACATCACAGCATGCGGACACACATACATACATACATACGTACACACAGTCGCAATGCATACTCAGAGCCATATATTAGGCAGCTAGTTTGCTGCGAACTCAATGAATCAACACACGCATTCAACGCATACCAATGCACAAAAATATCAATGAACTTTACACAAACTTATGAGCGTGTGCTATGCGCACATGCGAGGTTTCTGTTGGTGTTGTGGGAGAGTCAGAGCAAGAGCAGAGCAATCAAAATAAGTGAGAGCGAGAGAGTTCTTCACAGAGGCTGTAAAGTATGCGAAGAGAGGAAAACAGAACCTGTAAAGAGGTAGGTGAGAAATTTGTAGTGAATAGATTTAATAGCGCAAAAGGAAAGACATCAATAAGTAAAAATATGATTTCTGCAGCTGCAATAAGCATTAGTGGTATTTTATTTTAAATGTTTTTGTACTCTCCGATTAAATTTACTTATTACACATGCTGGAGTTGTATCCGATTTCCTAGCGGGCTCCCTGTGCACCTTCTGTCACCTTCTGCAACTCTCTGCCATGCTCTCTCTTATTCTCTGTGTTATGTGCGTGTGTGGGTGCTGTTATTGCAATCGTTCACTCACTTGTCGATGCTACCACTGTATGTTTCAATGTTAGCGCAGTAAGAAATTTGGGATAATCAAACAGTTTTATAATTATGAACTCAAATTAAAATATGCTGACATGTGTATTCAAAAACTTTATTTCACAACAATATTGCAGCATGGTCAAATCTAAATCAAAGATTCAAAATTACATTCTCTTATCACGTCATTTTCAGTATGTTTTTCGTGTATGCCTTAACTGCTGGGTATTGGAGACAATTTATCGCGCTCAGCGTTGTTTAACAGTCTCGACAAGTACAAAATTGAGTTTAACAGTTAGATAACAGTCGACCACTGAGCACAATGGAGAGAAAACACCTCACAGAGAGATAAAGAAATCATTTGTATAACTTGAGGTAACATGTGCGGCAGAATGACCAACGAAATCGACTCGAGAGAAAGAGAGAGAGGGAGTGAGCGAACAGTACAGAAGAGTGCAACAGGAGAACAACATTTTCATAACAGTAGCGGAATGGTTAACATACTGCTTGCCGCAAAGCAAACTGTAAACAATTTTTTCGTTTACTTTTTCATTCCTTCAGCGTATCTGTATCTTGTCGCTTGTAGCCCGCTTGCACGGTGTTCGGTATTCGGTCAGTGCGCGTTTTTTAGGCTCTGTTTATTTCATTTGCTCAACACTCAACTTCGACATACACATACAGTTACAGTAATACATACACGGTAGTGATTTGGCGGGCTTGTGTGCGTGCGAATGGGGGCCTACAACAAAACATAAAAAAGAATTGAAGTGCGATATAAAAGCACAAAACAAAACGCAGTGTAATAAAAAAATATCAAACAACTAAAAACAAAACAAAAGAAATTGCAATTTTAGTATTAATAAACGCTTTTAGGAGAAACAACAAAAAAGCGTTTGGAAAATTCTACACAAAACGTAGCTGGAAAAAGATTTCATTGTAAAAAATTGTGTTTCGTTTCTTGCTTGCGTGCGCGCGTATGTGGTTGTGTGTGCGTGTGTGTTTTTTTTTGTGAGAGCGTGAAGCACAACACAAAAAGGAAAGCAGAAGCAGCAGAAATACAAAAAAAATGTGCGCCAGGCAAATTAACCAGCAACAGCAGATGATGTAAACTTTTTGTTGTTGTAAAGTTGGTGAAAAAGTTATCGAAAAAGAAACGATACGAAATAAGTGAAGAAAAAACAAACAACAAAACACAACAAACTAGCAACGCTTTATTGAGAGTGTGAGAGTGAGTGCATTTGTGAGAGCTTTTTAAGATGCCGGAAACGGAGTACGAGTTCTGCAGCAAGGAGTGGCTCCAATCGGAGCTGAAAGCCAGCCGCGACGCAGCCAAAAAGCTGATCATACTCGACTGTCGCGGCTCTCAGGAGTACAGCGATTCGCATATCCGAAGCGCCGTTAACTTTAGCATACCCAGCATAATGTTGCGTCGCCTAGCCGCTGGCAAGATCGACTTACCATCCACAATCAAGTCGCAGGAGCTCAAGGAGCGCATACAGGCGGGCTACAAACTCAGCCCGTTCATACTCTACAACGATGTGGGCGTGCCCCCACAGCAACAACAGCATCAGCAGCAGCAATCACCTCAAGATGTGGCTGGAGCTTTCGAAATGTATGGAACTGGCAACGATGCCACGATCAACGTGCTCTATCGCCGGCTCAAGCAGGACGGATGTCGCGTGCTCTCGCTGCAAGGTAAGTTCCATAAGTTAATCATGAAAAATAAATTATTGCTGCATTCCTCAGCCTAGGCAAAAATATTTCAGCAATGTTACGCACACATACAAAAAAAAAATACAAATATTTTACTCATTTGTTTTATTTTCGTAGCGCGGCATTTTTAGCACGAAAAACAAACGCAAAATCAAAACAAACGCTACAAAAAAAAACCAAGCAAAACATAAATAAATATATAAAACAAATCATAATAATGCATATAACAAGCCATAAATAAACATTTGCTGCTCGGCATTATGTATTATTAAAAATGTTATTATTAGTCCGAAGGCACACAAATAACAAAAAAGGAATGCTCGAGTGCGCTATACTCTTTATAAAATGTAAAACTGGCTCTAAGCGGTTTATAAATAAATGGATTAGCGATTCGAAAATAACTGCGAGCCTTTGCAAAACTTTAGATTATATAAATATATCAAAATTATCAAGTATTTTACTTCTTAAATAAATACAAAGCTAATATACTCTTCCCTCACATTCTGCACTGTATTTTAAGTGTTATGAGGCCAAATATGAAAATCTACAATATATTTGTATATTTGAATTGAATAGCATCGCGTTTATAAGGTGTGCTAAACGTTGATAAGCTTAATGCCGTTTCTAAGAATAGATTTAACAGACAGAGAGCCATGCATATATATACACATATATATAGTTTTAAATGATCTGCCAAATAGCTTTTGAAATACTTAATGTGGCGCCTTTATAAAATAATGTGTGATGCTTTGAACTTGTTTGGCTGGCTTGGCTTGATGTCTGCTACTTTTGATTGATTTTGACTTGATTATCATTAGCAGCTTACAGAAAATTGACTGGATTCTTACATGGTATATATTTATTCCTTATCACTATCACTTAATGATTAAATCTATTAAAATCGCTTAATTTAAATTCTGAAAAAACACAATTAAGTTTCCGAAGAATCTTTTTATATTATTTTAATTTATACATACAGTCATAGATTTGTCGGAATATATTATTATATGATCAGTTGTTGTTTCTGCTGCTGACTCTGGCTTCATATTTATTTTTATCACTGCAATTTCCGTTCGGTTACAAGTGCCCAAATGTGTGTGTGTGTGCTCTCCTTCCGTTGCTGGCTGTCTCTGTGTTTCGAATTCCCTCGTCCCCCTTACTCTGTCTATGTGTGTGGCAGAAAGCTTGTCGTAGCTGACGTACGCACGTTCCATTCAGCGTGTGCTAATATCACAAATTGACAATAGGGCGTCAATAAATGGACCGGTCGGCGTCTCCTCCAAAAAAAAAAAAGAAAGAAAAAACTCCGTCTGCTTGTTCGTGCCATTGTTTATTCGTTTCATTTTGAAAATAGAACTTGAAACACTCGGGTGCTAAATTAGCATAAGATAAGGTCATCAAGAGGAAGAAGCCGTGACGTCAGTTGTGCTGTTGCTGTCGAATCCTGCGCCTACCTGTGCTGCAGGTAAATTTTGTATAGCGTTTGGGACAGGCGACACAGACAGACAGCGAGTGTTAAGCAGATCAGTTTTACGACTGGAAATACCTCGAGCTGGAAAATCCTCATTTGACATTTTGTGTAAAATTCTGGCACCTTTTTGTTCATTAAAAAGGGCACTTCAAGTATCGCCCATTGTCGTGCTCTGCTAATGATGCTGGCTAAATAATAAATGTTAAATGAATTTCTGGCCCTCTTGAATGGCTGTCAGTGCGGCGAAGAGCAGGCAATAGCGGCAACAACTACTTCCATTTCTACTGCCATTTGTATGCATTTTGTCATGCTTATGAATTGCCTAAGTGTTCAGTTTATTTTATGCCCCGATAAGCGCAATTTGTATTGTAAACCTTTTTCGTTTAGTGCTTTCATACTCATCCCCAATATCATTCCCGATGCCACTTGGCCCAGTTCCAAATGTGGTCTTATCTTATCTCAAGGGGCTTGAGTTCCCTTCCGTGGTGAATGCAAATGGCAAATGGTATATACAGTTAGAGCTTGATTAAAATATCAGTCGGATATATGTATTGCAAGTGATAATGAAATGCTGGAACGGAAAGGGTCGCAATTTCAAAAATAATGATTAGCTAAAAACAGAATATAATAGATTTTGTGTATATATAGGACAGTTATAGAGTGGGAAATGGAAAGACTATATTATTAAAAACAGTTATAATTATATTATTATATACTTTGCTGATCCTTATCGAGTTATAAATGAAAAATCGAACGAATTCCAATCACAGGAAGTTCTAGTATTCCAACGTCCATTGGAAACATTTACATAACCTACAAACTGAAGCTTTTGTCTCTTTCGCACACATCCGGCAGCATAGCAACGGCAATAGAAGCTTTTGAGTTGTGACCAAGTTGGCAAACAGTTTAGCGTCCTGTTTGCCAGGGGGAATAAACCGATTGTTTAGTTTCCCTTAAAGTTCATGCCGCTAATTGACCTTGAAATGCAATTAAATCGGGCTATTATGCGGCTCTCTCGTTCCTCCTCTCTCTTTTTGACAGGATTGTATGCGAGGCGAGTTCATTATGGCAGCCGGATGCACTGTGCATTAATGCTGCTGTTGCTGCTGCGAAATTCATTTTAATTAAATGCCACTTTGTATGCATTTCTCGGAATTAAAACAATTAAGATAGGGGCCAAGTGTCACAGTTATGCGAAGAGAGCCAATGCCTGTCTGTGTGTATGTGTGTGGGGGAGAGAGCGCAATTGTGCACATCAGTAGTCAAGTTTCGTAAACTAAGCGCTTCCGTTGCATGAAATTTAATTCAATTATATTTAGCAAAGTTTCAAACCCTGCTCATCAACATCATCATTTACGCTCCTTTTGCGTTCACTCTTTCACTTCTGTTCTCTTTCTCTTTCTCTCTCTCTCGCCCTGGCCCTAGCAAACGTAAAGTCAACGAACGATGCGTTGCGGTCGTCTTCGCAGCCGCCGACGCTGACGCCGCCGCCACCACTTTTATTGGGGAGTTGGAAGTTGAGTTAAAATTATAGACAGCGGCGACGTCGAAGAACTTGTCTGACTCTTCTTCTTGCATCTTGATTTTTTATAGCCATGCGGATACAAAGCTGCTCCACTGTTCAGAGTCTGCCTAGTCTGCTGCGTCTGTCTGGCAGCGACTTCTCTCTGCTGCAGAGTCGACCCTTTTATAGAAATTGAACTCGGCTGCTGCGCAAGCGCAGCGACGTCGCGTCGTTGCCATAAAAACAACTCTGTGGTATGCATTTCCACGCGTCGTCGTCAACGTCGTCGTCGCCGCCGCATTCGCATTTTCCCCAACAAACTATCCACTGCATGCATACACATACATACATACATACATACTTAGACAAATGCACATATGTATTTATGTATATGTATTTATCTGCTTGCGGCTCATTGGAGAGTTGTTTGCCTCATTTGTGAACAAGTTGCTTTAATTTTGTTTTTGGGCCTAAGCAATTTTCACAAGTTTTCTACTTGCTTTCCACATACAACAACACGTGGCATTTCACAACTCAATACACACACACACACATACACTCTTATTCGTATTCATATCTGTTTCCAAGGCCGTCGCCTGCCTCATTACAATTTGATGATAGTTCATCAGAAGAAACTGCGCTGCCCCCTTCTAGTAAATTCGACATCTCCTTCACTTCTTCCTCTTCATCTTCTTCTTCTCCCAACAACAGCTTTCAACTGGTCTGCCTTCACCGAAAAACTGCCAGCAAAGCAGCTGCCTTTGGCATTGCCTCATTTTGCTGTTGAGATTTTGAAACTGTGAACTTGCAGCAGGGAACATCTACATGCATACACATACATACTTACATAAATGTATGTCCTTACAACCCCGCATTGCACACATATATAACAGAACCATAACATTGCCTTGTGTATTGAATCTTCAAGATTTTCACTTAATTGTCACACTGTGCGCTTGATTATTGTTCGTTTGTGTTGACACCAAACAACCACAAAAACACTGCCCACGTGCAAAATGGACGTGAACGTGTCCAGACGCAGACAGACGAACGAAACGACAGACAGCATCGCTACGTTGGCGTCTTATTAAGCAATCACAAACACATACACACACACATGAAGGTAGTCCAGCAAGCACTCGAAAAAGCATTTGACAACGTTTTGGAGACACGTTGGACAGCTGGAACGGAACAGTTGGCTGGCTCTTTTGGTCGAATTAGACGCGGCCTACGGCTGCTCGAAAACAGAGACAAACATTTTTGTTGTTTTTGTTGTTGTCACCGGATTTGGGTCAAAGTTTGTGTGGGTTTTAATTAAACAGCCGCCTAACGGCGAGACCCACATTGAAGCTCTGTCTCGCGAGCCACCTGCAATGGCGGAGGTTGAGACCAACACACACTTGTGTGTGTGTAGATGGCGCAAATATTTGCAAGAATTGATGATCGACAACAACAGCAGAAGAAGAAGACTAAAAATGATAAAGCCGACAAGCGACTTCCGGTCAAAGCGCTGCGAGGGCGATTCGTGGGTCTGTTGTGCTGCATACCTCGGCGTTCCTCACTTGAATTCAGCGGAAGTTTCCAGGGCGTGTGTTGCACATAACATAAACATAAAAGCGCAAGACTGGAAAGAGTCAAAGAGTCGAAGAATCAGTGGCGCATTGCGAAATACAAACGATGACGACGACTTCGTCTTATACTTTGCTCTCTTTACCCAACTGCTGCCGCCTGCCTTGGCGGGGGAGCTGGACGCGTAAATTGTTGTATTCTTGGAATTAGCAAACAACAGAAGCAACAAAAACAACATCAAACAACGACAAAGAAAAAAGAAGAGAAACGAAGACAACAACGATTGAATTTTTGCTTTGATTCCATGGGGCGAAAAGGAATAAGAGATATGTACACATTTGTGCATACATACATACACATACATATGTATATGTGCATAAGTAAAGTCGGCATCGAAATGAAATGGAGCTAAAGGCTGCTGTCGACGTCCGCCTTGCG